TAATGGAATTCTGCTTTGTAGAATTGTGTTAAGAACATCGAATGATGGCAAAATAAATTGAGGAGGGGGGAAAGCTTTTTAATGTCCTAAGTGGGAAAAAAAAAAAAAACCATAAATATTCGTTCTTCACAAGATAAACTGATAGTAATTGGAAAATGTATTGTGTGTTGAGCAATTTCTTTATTTTGAGAGAAATTTGTATTAGCTTTACGCTTATATTTTGAGAACTGCCAGTTGAATTGCTGAATGATGCAGAAATTACTTTATTTTTCTCAAACCTATTTTTAACAATGGAAGTAGTAACTACATCTCCATTTACTTTAGGTATTTTATAACTTTCAATAGAGCCTTTTATCTTAACTCTCGAAGCATTTACTTCTTTACAAAATGCAAGAAGTGGGTTCCATTGATCGAGGATTCTAGATAAGGATTTCTTTAAAGACAGTCAGCATGTACACACATTTCAAAATTTTTCTCATTTTAGTATTATGCAGCTGTTGGAAATGTTTCAATTTTTCCTTTCTTTTAGAACTCCTTTCAAGATATAGTAAATAACAACAATGTGTTCATTCACATTTATTGGCCCTTTTTCAGCTGCTAAATTTAAGAGGTGACAGGTGCACCTCATAATCTGCAAATCTGAATTTGCCTTTCTTAAGATGCCTACAACACCAGTCTTTAAGTCTACCATTACTGGTGCATTATCGGCACCAAGTGCTAAGCAATTATCCAGAGGAACTACATTTTCTTTTAAAGTTTTAATAATTAGCTGTGCTATAATAAAGCCTGTCAAATGTCCTTCTAAAGTGGGGACTGTAAAGTAAACTGCACTCATTTTCTGAAGACTCTGGATTAAAAAAAGAAACACTAATTGGATACAGTTTTGATTTGGTATTATTGCTTCCATCCGTAGAGAGGCAGAACGCAGCTGTTTTAATGCAATCAATAACTGAGGATTTATTTTTCAAATCCATTTCTTTAACAATTGTACCTGTTTTGGTTCTTGCACTTGAGTATTTCTTAGCGATTTCACTATCGGGAAACATTTTTTAAAATAAAGTCGCAGCGTGATCCGATGCATTCAGTGGCAGGTTATGCTCCAGTAAAAAGGCAGAGAGCAGATATTCTGCATCAATAACTTTATAGTTCTTTCCTTCCCAATAAAATTAAATTTTTCGTTTTTTTTCTCAAAACAACTCATTTTGTCCTTGTGTTTTTGTGTACGCACATGTTTGAGAACATCCGCTCTTCCACCATGCGAAATCGAAAAATTGCAACGACAGTTGATACACATTGCAAATTTATTACATTTCCTTGAGGAAATAGTAGAAGGAAAGTCAACTGTGTACGATTTTTGAAATGTGCACGAGTATTTCACCTTTCTCGCAGACATAACAAAAGATGGTAACTTCTAAAACTATTTCTCGAAGGCACGTGTAGGCAAACAACTCATGACAAGATTAACGAAGTAACTAAAGAACATCTAAATAACGGCCTTGAGCTTGCTTTGTGCTCACTGGCTAATATATGCCAGATGACACGCAGTGGAGCTCGATGCCCACTGCAGAACGACGTTTCTGGATACGTATGCAGTCACTCACAAAGCGGAAATTGTCGTCTGATTCGCAAGGTTTTGTTTTAGATATAATCTAGAGAAAATCCAATTGCTTTCCAACGTCCAAAATCACTTTTTTTTGTTTATATAACGAAGTATAAAAGAAAAAGTCGGGGGAAATATATTGTAAATCGGGTTGGTGGGAGAGCGGTCGAAAATCGAGAGTCTCCCGCCTAATTCGGGAGAGTTGGCAATTCTGCTAATAATTTTGGCCATGGCGGCCATGTTTGTTTACGTTTGAAACCTGGCATAGTGTATTTATTGCCAATAAAAAGAAACTAGGCTTCGCAACAACAAAGATAACGCCTTCGGTTAATCTTTGGATTATGGTAACTTGGGCTATTTTTTGGAAACCAACCCTGCTACAGCAACTTGCTAGTTTTTTTTTTATCACCATTTTGTTTTCACAAAGTAAAGGCATTTTTTTTTTACTCAACATTTCCCCCCCCCAACAATCTGCTAGCAGAATTACGCTTATGCTAGAACTTTTATGAAGCAAAAGTGCTTAATCATGACGGAGATTAGGTGCGAAATTGGGAGAAAGTGCAGAATCGCCCACTGCTTGCCGCGTTTTCAAGAATTGCACATACACGGTATCATCCATGTACACGTCGACCTATTTTTACTTAAAAAAAATCCCAGAATTGCACAAAAATGACATTGCGCACACTCTTGACTTTATCCATGTACACTTGCTAAAGTCCTAGCTAGTAACCTTTATCGCCTTACCAAAATGTCGCCAAACTACCTGTTGCCATATTCCAAAGATTAGCCACGCCTTCTTTTACTTTTATTACTGCGAACGAAATCATGCTTAATCCATTCGGAAAATTATTCGAGGAAATAAGTGTTTAAGATTTACTTCGTAATTTTTATATAGATATTTTGAGTTTTTATGTATTTTAGCCTTTTAGCAAAGTGAGGACTGAATTAATTGAGAAATACTGAATCGTTTGTGAAAAACAGTTTCCTTTTTTTTTGTTTAATTTCTTTTATACATTGTTTTAGACGTATTATAGTATTTGAAAGTAATATGTGGCAACGATTAGATATAATTTTTGTGCATTCCGAGTTACAAAATGCAATGCCATTACGTGAAACCAGCACCAGAGTGTCACTATGCTAAATAAATATAGCAAATTTTAAAGAGTGCATTTATTCTAGTGTGGTTTTATGTGCTATCGACGAAGTACAATTCACCAAGTTTAAATGGAATGCAGGAAAAATGCATACAATTTAATATTCCATATAAGGAAGTCAGTTGTGTACACATCAGATTTTTATTTATGTGGTCGCGAGCCAAGCAACTCTGTCTTGTTGAATGAGATAAATAGTTTCCATGCAAATCTGGTATTAGCCATAATGGCAAAAGTCTGAGAAGTATTAAAAAATAATCTTTTTTATTTGAACATTACAAAATTTGGCATCAGTTCCATAGTTCATTTACCAATGGTCGAGTTTAGAATAATCTTATGTTTAAGAGTAATAATGATTTAATTTTTTTAATCATGCATTTCATTCTTAGTTGCTACATGTTTTTTCTTATTATTATGTTATTATATTTTGGGGGGTGGTTTCTCCCTCCCAAGCATGCAGTATTTAGTTGCTTATATTATTTTCTTTAAATTTTGCAAAAATTTTATTTCTATTTGTCATTTCAATATTATCTCATCAATTTCACAAACGCACATGCAATAAGAAATCTGTAAATTAGTCTTAATTTGCAACTACATGGAGAAGATATATATTAAAGACATTCCTAAAATAGATAATTTTAGACATTTGACATATTAACATGTCACTCTAAACCAGAATTCAAACTTTGCCAAAATACAATAAAAAAAGAAGACCATTACTGCTACTCCAAGAAATATAATTTACTGTCATACTCAGAACTTTTATGAATTTTATAGAGTACTTAAGATTCCTTAACAAATCTACTGCTAAGTAATCTCAACAACATAACACCCAAGCTGAAAGGAATAAAAATCAATGTTAATGAAAAGATCTGTAAATTTAATTCCCCCTGTAGAAATATGTATGAAATGAGAATTCTGAATGTAAGAATAAGGTGAATGGTAAATTTAAAATAGGCATAAAAAGAATTCTGAAAGTAGAACATTACGAAAAACGACAATGCAATGAAACACTGAAAATACAAGTGATATTTTAAAATAAAATTTGAAATTGCTGTAAGAATTTAATTTGCATGATTCTAACACATTCTATCAGCACAAGGCTCTCAACATACTGCCATGAATGTATATTTAACTGCCTTGAAAGAAAAACACCACGATGTACAAATGTAAAATTTAGCATTTCCCTCAATCTTCTGAGAGAGATGGCTTTTTTTGATAAAAGGCAACGTCTAATCAGCATTTATTCGGTTTTTATAATACTACTCTTAACATATTTCCCTAAATTTAACAATCTTGCACGAGGTGTATATTCAACAAAAATCTTCGATTTATTTTAACTACAAAATTCTAAATGATTTCTTTTAAACTTGATTAAAAAAACTAGTTTCTTTGGCACATATAACAACACATCAGAATAAAAAATAACGGCAGCACGATCTTGGCTTGGCTTATACAAGGCTAGTTGGTTTCACATTTGGTAACATTTGCTCTTCTTGGTAACGCACTTATGTGGTAGCTAAACAAAAAAGTTCTAAAGATTTTGCAATTAGTACTTGAACTTTAAGCATGTCCACAGTTTTGAGTTATTTTGGAAACTCAATCTCTTCACACAAATGGGTAGATCATTTATGCCTAGCCAGATAATTCTCATATATTCTTGAAAGTTTCCCAAATAAATTGCTTTTTCAAATAATACTAATTGAATTTCATTTTTAACTACTCTCCATTCACATTTTAGATTTTGATAGTCAACAAAAAATTGAAAGTCATCCAGTTAACACTAAAGGTGGATAAAAGTAATGAAGGAATAATGTCACTTGGTCTAAGCAAGCATGAAAATTACAACATGCAGCATTATGTATGCTGCACATCATAAATTTCACAAAAATTGTATGTATATTTTCAATTTATTATAAATAAAAAATAATTAATATTTAAGAGAAAGAAAAATACTGAATCAATGATATAATGCAGACAACTTTGACATGATATTAAGTTTGGCAATTCTGGTAACTAATCTACCGATTTTAGTCAGTGATCAAGTGGCTATTTTAACAAGGAAGGGTATTTGCGCATTATCCCATCGACCATTGGCAGAAACTTCTCGACAATTGTTACTGCGGAATTTTAAAGAAAGCGGCCATCCATAATTCCACTAAATCGCAGTACTGAGTCGATAGAATAATAAGTAAGTACCCATGGAAGTATTAACTTCTCTACACCCCAAAGACAGATTTGCATACTACCTTGCTTAGCACGATAACCCAATCGACGTGCTTTATCAGGACGCGTCGGTCTAGGGGCTCTGTGAACTGTATTCAACTGCCTGTAATACCAGCATCGTGTTCGAAGCAAAAATTTCATAACATCAGATTGTTTCTTTCGCCATAGTTCTTGCATATATTTATATGCTCCCATCTTTTACCTAAAAAAATGAAGGGATATAATATAAGAATTAATATATATTAAGGATTCCTGATCAGGAAGAAATTTGGGTAAAGTGCAGAATCGCCCACTTATTTGTTTGGCACTTTTTACAAGAATAAAAATTGGATTTTTAAGTGAAAATAGGTCAACGTGCACATGGATAAAGGGCGTGCGCAATTACATTTTGTGCAATTCTGGGAATTTTTAAAGTGAAAATAGGTCGATGTGTACATGGATGCAGAGTATGTGGAATTCAAAAGCACTCCCGCAGAGAACCCGGTAAATGCAAATATCGCCAACTTTGGCGATAATAGTTCAAACCTGGTAACCCCGCGGATTTATCCTATTCGCTTGTTCGAAGTTTGCAACCATTCCTCTTGCGTTCATTTTGTTGAATTAAAGCTGTTGTTGTTCGCATATGCAGATTTATATTCTTCTCTTATTTATTATTATTTTTTAATTTTTTAACAACGAATAGACAGAAATATTTTCGTAGATAGATGCCGGTTCTCGGTTCGGGATGAAAGGAAGAAAATACGGTGGGAGGGGTGAATGCTAATTTGTAACACGGCTGTTCACGTTGTGTTCTTAGTTATTAACAGCTCTAAGAACCATGAGGTTTCCAACCTGTAAAATAATTTGTTCCCGTAGGCCGCGAAAATGTGCATGTGCATTTTAAATAATTAAGTAATGCTTTTATTTTTATTATTGGTTATTGTCATCTAAAATTATGAGAATAAATACATTTTTATGGAGTAAAATTTTAACAATATATTGTTAATGCTTTTCTAACAATAACCTTTCAAAGGATGGCAGGTGTGGCATAAATAGATGATTAAATTGAAATAAAAGATATTGATTATCTAAGATGACAGAATAGTTTGATGCATCACCATGGTTAGCAAAATTAGCAAACCACTGCTGGTGTAAGGAATATATTGTTTTCTGTGTTAACTGGAATTTAAGACAAATTTATTTTTGTATATCACGTTTAACTGGTTAGTTTTACATCTACATGCATATTATTTGAGAATTTTTACTACCATATGCTTAATATATTGTTTTGTCTGCAAACTTGAATTTACATGCACTAAAAATCACGTTTACGGCTCGGCTCATCGTCGATTAACCGCGAGATTGGCGAGTAAAAATGCAACGGCGCCAACGGGTTCTCTGCGGATGAAAACCCTGGAATTCTTAAAAACACATCAAGCAGTGGATGATTCTGTACTTTCCCCAGAAATTTTATAAATCTGGGGAGCAGGAAATGCAGTCAGACTTTTATTTAGCCGTTCAGTATTTAGTTTTAGATCAACCCTTCAGCATCCGCGCTCCCTTTCGCTGCGTTAGTAAGCGCACGGGACAATTTTCACCCCAAGGTTTTATTGTCAACATTTCATGTTAAATATAATGAACGAACACAGTTTATTGCTTGGATTGAAACTAGAAATTCTAATTTTGCATGAGATAAGTTTAATTTTAAGTGTATTTTAAAACATATGACTTAATTTAAGGTCTTGCACATCATCGGTATTCGAAAGAAAACTATAAAATGCATAAATGCACATTATTTTTTAATTACCGCCACAGTCAAATTTTAACTAAAAAATAAATTCCGTTGATTTTATTATTTAATCTAATTAAATTATTTCATTTAATTTTTAATTATATTATAATGCAATTATATCAATCCATCCCTTTCAAATTAAGTACAGTAATACAATTTATCATTTTAATTCTTTCGAAATTAATTTCAGTAACACAATTTAACATTTCATCTCTATAAAAATTAAGTACAGTAATACAATAACTGAAAAACATACCTTTAATTATTCAGAATCTTTACTTTTGAAACAATCTTCACATAAGATATTTACATGTTTTTTACAAATTAATTTGTTACATTCTAAACAAGATATAGATGTTTTCCTGTCGTCTTTTCATGGACAAATATCACATCGTCTGCAGCTTCTCTTTTGAAACTTTTTTGGTTCATTAGTTACATCTACTCCAGCCAACCTCTTCACTCCAGTTTTTAGTGCAATGGGTAGAGATGTGATCTTTGATCGAATTACTGCATGTTCTTTTACAAGGGCTAATGATAATTCCTTCAAGAAATCCTTTCGTTTCATATTACTCTGCTCATGGTTAAAGTAGTGTATTATGAATGCATTAATTCCGGCAATATTCATTAGTCCAAAAAATATTGTAAGCAGCCAACGTAGGCATCTTGAAACTGAACATGTTCCACATAATTCGTCTACAGTATCAACACCACCTTTAGTCATATTGTAGAACATTATCATTTTGGGTTTGTTCTGATCGCCTGAATCTGGATGAATTTTTTTGTCATCATGCATAAATGGCAATACCAGGGCCGATGCATTTTTTTTTTTGGAACATACGATGTTAAAGTAAGTTCCTTATTTTTGAAGCCAAATAGTGAAGAGTGTACAGGTCTACCTTTATGAGGCAAAAATTCTAACGGAATTTCTCTTTTATTTTTTCGAAGTGTACCGACGCAAGTAAGTTTATAATTGTGTAATAAATCAGTTGCTAAAGAACACTCATAAACCAATTATCCATTGTTATGTTCCTTTTATCGGCGAAATGATTCTTTTGCATAGATTTTGCATCAGATGGCGTATTTGATTGCCTGTATGGTCCGATAGGCTGTTGTCCGGCATAAATTTCTAAATTATATGTGTAAAATGTGCGAGAATCGCATAAAGCAAAAATTTTAATACCATACCTGGCTGGCTTATTTCTCATGTATTGCATGAATTGACACCTTCCTATAAATGCTTCAAGTTTTTCATCAACTGTGCAATATTCTGAGATACAGTATAGTTTCTGTATGTTCTTCAAGAACTTTTCAAAAATGTCCCTAATAGATGCGAGTCTATCAGTTTCTTTTTTTCTTTGTGATCGCGAATTTATATTATCGAAATCTAATGCATCTCAAAAGAAAATGGAAACGATTGAGTGTCATTGTATTTCGAAAACCATCTAAAAACTCCAAAACCATCAGTAGACCACAAGTCTTTTGCGATCAGGAGCGCTGCTCTCAAAACACCAGCATAGTATAACAATTCAAACAAAGCCAGTTCCGCTAAATTTGTTTCAAAAGCATCTCTTTCTCTGGAAAATTTATCTTTTATTGTTGAAATATAAATATTAGTATAGTTGACCAAATCTCCTAGAATATCATCATCCAAAATTTGAAGGGTGCTACATTGGTAGATGGTTGCACGGATTTTGGCGATTTGCCTTTTGGCGAGTAATACAACTTATGGTAAACCCATTGCTGGATAAGTTATTTATGGTAACCGATACTTTGTTGTCATTTTATTAAAAAAATAATGAGTTTTATTATGCATAACTTCCTTGTTTTAAATATTATTTATGGCTTCTAAATATTAAAAATCAATTTAATTTTACATTTTTATTTGAAATAAAAATTTTGTTTGTTTATAATATTTTATATATTTATGTTGTGGATGATGTAATCAATGACGTCACCTTACTTAAAAAGTAATTGGTTTTATTAATATCTATAAATTTAATCTAATGTTTTAAACATTATTTATGGCTGTTAAATATTAAAATAAAATTTAATTTTGCATTTGTTTTAAAAATGATTTTATTATGAATGATTATTTAAATAATTTTAATTCTATGAATGATGTAATCAGCTTCGATTGGCTACTGAATATTTGTGCATTACAGCGCCATTTTAAAATTTTATTATTCATCTTTTCGAATTCCTCGGATTTCAAATGGAATGGATATCTCCGTTTCGAAGACGAATGTTGTTATTGGTAATTACCAAGAATTATTGGTATTGGAATAAAAAAATTGCCCTTTGAGACTTTATTTTGGCCAACCTGTCTTTCCTAATCAAAGATTTGTTTATAAATTGTTAATAGCGTCAGAGGAAACCTCGCTAATTGCTTCTTGGTTGATCTTTACATTACGGTAACTTGGTGATTTTTTGGTGACCAACTCCCATACAGCAACCCTCTATTTTTTTTTCCCCGCCGCCATTTTGTCTTCACGAAGTAAAGACATGTTTCTTTTCTTCTTATCTACTGAACACTTCTTCCAACAATCTACTAGCCGAATTACACTTATGCTAGAAATTTTATCAAACAAAAACTGCTTAATCATGACTAATATTCATTGCAAAATTCGGGAAAAAAAAAGTGCACAATACCATACACCTTACGCGTTTTTCAAAATAACACATACACATAAACCATGTACACGCCGACTTATTTTTTACTTAAAAAACATCCCAGAATTGCACAAAAATGGCATTGCGCACACTCTTCACTATATCCATGTACACTGCTTTTTCTCATAAATTCGAAAAATTTCACGAAAATACATGACAATTTTCTCAATCTTTTAAACCCGGTAAAAAAGAACATATATGAAATTACCTGATCGCGAAAAAGTATTTACCCTTTACAAATATGAACATTTCCACATATAAAATAAATAAAATATCCAAAAACTTTTACCTCTAAATCATCTATTACATTATACACGTCACCAACGAATTCATACATGAAGCATTACAAATATTTAGTATCAAATATTTAAATTATTTCCATGCACGTTTATTCAACTTAAACGTAAACCAAATTCCTACAAGCATAAAATTCACAAAATAACTATCCTTTTCATTAAAATATCACTGAACCATGTACACGTCGACTTATTTTTACTTAAAAAAACATCCCAGAATTGCACAAAAATGGCATTCCGCACACTCCTAACTATATCCATGTACACTGCTTTTCTCATAAATTAAAAAAATTTCACGAAAATACATGACAATTTTCTCAATCTTTAAACCCGGTAAAAAGAACATATATGAAATTACATGATCGCGAAAAAGTATTTACCCTTTACAAATATGAACATTTCACCATATAAAATAAATAAATATCCAAAAACTTTTACCTCTAAATCATCTATTACATTATACACGTCACCAACGAATTCATACATGAAGCATTACAAATATTTATTATCAAATATTTAAATTATTTCCATGCACATTTATTTCAACTTAAACATACACCAAATTCCTACAAGTATAAAATTTCACAAAATAACTATCATTTCATTAAAATATAATTAAATTCAAAAACACCACTTAAATATACATGAGCACACTACATTCAATTAATAAAAAATTACCTTACAATTCTAATTACTTTAAACTAAATCATTGCTAATAACAATTTTCCCAATAATACCAAATTCCTCTCCACCTTACATTTCCAACAATGCATAAAAATAATTAAAAATACTAACTTACCTAATCTCCTTCAGAATCTTCATTACGTGGCGGATACACTTTTCTTCATTCTCTTTCAGAATCTTTAAAATCATACTTATCTTTCAAAGCAAGATACCAGGTAAAATAAATAACATAATAAAACATGTTTTATTTCTCTCTCTCACACAACTTAAAAAACATTTCTTACTATCTTTTTCAATACCACTAAATACCCATTTCGAATTCACTTTACTTACGGCCATGGGATCCAAAAATTCACAAACACTATTTCACACAACACAGAATAAAGCCAAATACAAAATTTCCAGATTTTTTCCCGATTTCCCCCCTTTTCCGATTAAAGAACCGTAATTCGTCCATTAATATCACATGACATATCCCATGATCTCGCATTCCCCCCACACAAAATAATGCGTAATCGGAACTCAGTACTGCTCACATTATTACCAAAGTCCCAGGTAGTAACCTTTATCGCCTCCAAAATGTCGCCAAACTACCAGTTACCGTAATGTAAAGATCAACCCTTCTTCAATGAAGTGCGAGATATTTGGATAACAGATGAAGATGGTTAAAAGATCCGATTCAATTACGATTTCGATTTTTTTTGTGGTACTTACCAATACACAAGAGGTTAAATTACTCAAAAAAATGTAAGTACATATTTTTCTTTTATTTTATATTTGTATACTTCAATTTTTGTTAAAAAAATTAATACACTATTTTCAAAAATTGCTGAGATAATTATTGTTACATATGTTTTAATGTTAATTATATTTTATATAACGTATTTTAAAGTATTTGAATTTAATAATATTCTAATTCTTTTAAATGTTGTAGGATGGTTTTTAATTCGATATTCAATTTCAGTAATATTTTAATCTAATTAAACGTTGGCACAATGTTTTTATTTTCTTTTTTTTGCTATATGAAAGTAATAATTTAGCCTTACTTTAGTATTTTTTTTATTTATTTCTCTTTTTTTTTATACTCGTAGTAATGTATTTATTTACACTTGCCTGCCATCTTAAAAAACGACATTTTCAAAAAAAAAAAAAAAAAAAAAAAAAAAAATTAATCCATTACTTTTAACAATATTTATTTTTTTAAAGTTTCGAATACTTTACTACAGTCAAAAGTCTTTAATCCGGACTCGTCGGGACTTCTGCGATTCCGGATTATAGATCATCAGTTTAAATCTGGTAAGATGGCATGCAGAAATTATAAAATTAAAAATATGAAACCATAATTTATGAAATAAAGAGCACTTATGATCTAATGGGTATCAAAATTTACAAAAAAAAAAAGCTTAATATTTATTTGTTTACTTTATTAAACATTTCTCTCAACGCGCGCATGCGTAAAGCATACATTACGCATAGCCGAAATTAGAAAATTGCAACCAGAAAACTATTTGATGTGTACTCGTGATATTTATAATGACGAGGAATTTGATTTAAATCATTTCAACGACGGAATACATCGAGATGAAATACTACATTTAGTAAGGAATTATAAGCTGAATAAAATAAAAAGAACTGACCTGAAGATAAGGATAGTGCTCACAGATCAACTTCCAGTTCATTGCACGCCGCGACGTTTCCCCCACTTCCCCGCAGAGCAGCGTGAAATTGATAAACAGATTACGGAATGGTTAGAGAAACAAATCACCTCTCTGTCACTTTCTTCATGCATTTATCCCTTTTTTTGCAGCAATTCCACTTTTTTGTTTGATGGACATCGAAACATGCTTTTGCTTTGTAGATCCCTCGGCATCTCCAGAATCGGAAACTCTTTTTGACATAATCTAAAGTTCAAGCTTACTTTTTATAAAATAGCCTAATAATAACAGTCTGCAAAAAATAATAAACTTGATCCAAACTCGAAGATTAAGGAAACAACGCACAGTCTGCACTACATTAACTGAAATGCCTTAGATTCAGTTAAGATAATTTTAGCTTAGCTTATACCGTCCGTTATACATTAAACACGCATGCGTAAAAGTATTACGCGCTTGCGTAAACGCCTATGCGCATGCGTTAAGGCATTATGCTTTGACACATGCGCAGAAAGTTTGTATCTTTGATGTCCGGATTATAGATCATTCCGAATTATGGGTGTCCAGATTAACGACTTTTGACTGTATGCGTAAAAACAGCGTTTTTCAAGATGGCTGACGATTGTAAAAATCACGTTAACGTAAATCGCCAAAAATCCGTGCAACCGTCTACCAAAGTAGCACCATTTGAAGTAAACAATCAACTGGAGTTTTTAAATTTCGATATTGTTTTTTTACACCAGGTTAATGGGTTACAATGTTTTTCGACGGAGTCCGAACATTTTTGGAAGGCAATACTTTAGACCATTTTGTTCCATCTTTTCCTACATAGAAATTTTAGGATGAGACAGAAGACCTGACACATAAATCATTTATATCATGTTCTTGTTCAGAATCTGTATTGTGGTCACTTTCTGATATGTTATGCTCTGATTCAGAATCTTCTATTTCACTATCTGTTTCAACACTCGCAGTCTCTTGTTCACGTTCGTACGCACTCATATTGTTAATGCTTTTCTAACAATAACCTTTCAAAGGATGGCAGGTGTGACATAAATAGATGATTAAATTGAAATAAAAGATATTGATTATCTAAGATGACAGAATAGTTTGATGCATCACCATTGTTAGCAAAATTAGCAAACCACTGCTGGTGTAAGGAATATATTGTTTTCTGTGTTAACTGGAATTTAAGACAAATTTATTTTTGTTTATCACGTTTAACAGGTTAATTTCAGTACATTAATACTAATTTATATTTTTCAAATGAATTTTTATTTCTGTTATAAATGCTTATATATTGTCTTATACTTAATATATTCTTTTCTGTGCTAACTTGAATTTAATACAATTTTCGTATATCACGCCAAACATCTACATGATTATTATCTGTGAATTTTTACTACCATATGCTTAATATATTGTTTTGTCTGCTAACTTGAATTTACATGCACTAAAAATCACGTTTGCGGCTCGGCTCATCGCTGATGAACCGCGAGCTTGGCGAGTAAAAATGCAACGGCGCCAACGGGTTCTCTGCGGATGAAAACCCGAAAAAGGAACACATATAAAGACAATTAGTTAACTTGGTTACTCCAAATTTACTTTAGATAACTACGCTTTTAAATTACTACTCAAAACTTCACTATGTAATCATTATCAAAAAGGGGTAAAGCATTTTTGAGTAGTATTTCATTGAAATTTAATACACTGAACAACAAAAAATTCAAGTTTATACTCATTATCTAAAAAGTCAATTTTATAATCATTCACGTATAACAACAAAACTAATCTTATGCATCAGACTGAAATTACAATACTAAGTAGAGGGTATGACATGCTCATCCTACTCATGGATATATTTTCAGAGCATTATTTTTTACATGTCTGTTATTTCCACCACGGACACATCACATAAAAAAGTGCCGAATGAAAAAATATTTTTTATTTCGCACTATTTGCGACTATCCTGGTAAAGACACAGGACAGCTATTAGTTAGTGCACAATTAAGAGATTTCAGAGACAATATATCACAATTTTTGAAATAAAAATAAAACAAGTCTAAAATTCTTCGTACGAAATTTAAATACAAACACTTTACATGAATTTTGAAAGTTTTTGCGGTAACATTTACATTGCTCCAACATTCAGAATACTGACATATCTTCTGTAAAACAATTATTTACACACAATATACGCTGTACTTTAGGGTTACGTACTGAAAACATATTGATAATACAGATAAGGCATGCAGTAAAAATGAATTACGACTACATGGCAATTCTAATGAGTTAAACATCAATAATTTCCTTTAATAAACTATATATATATACATTTCCATAAGATTCTGATAATTACACTTATCGCTAGAATTACTTATTAAAAATCTCAATTAAAAAGATGAAATAAGATTTTCACCTTGTATAACCTGTGCTTCACAGCCCCATACAATTACACATACAAAATCTGAAATTGAAGTGGAAGCTATGTTTAGGTGAATTCATCCTGAAGTGGCTCTCCATGTCTTCTTTTATAAATATACTAATGAAAAGAATTTGGACCCTTAAAATTGAGATGACAAAATTCTTATGATAGTATTAATGAAAATAGGTCATTTATGAAGTTTTTATGGTTTAGCAAAAAGAAAATACACATAATGGATTATGACAACAGCGGGGTTAAAAAATAATGTATGGAAAAAGGTTTTAATCATTTAGTTCTTTATTTTGATATAATGAGCATAGCGATAGGCCATTTCATTGCTTAGATTTTTTCATATTATTATTTCATTAAAAATATTATATTATTTATTAAAATATATTTTTAAAATTGTCAAGAACACATTTCAATTATTTATTAAAGATTTACTGGCAGCTTCTGTGTGCTGTGTGTACTTATTATTCGAAAGCACGGAGTATACTCCGTGTTCGAAAGTAACGAAGCATATGTAATGTTTTCATATTATTGAATTTTCGTTAAACTTTATATAAAATTAAGTAAGTCAAATTTAAATACGGAATATTATTTCTCTGTATCATAGCAATACAAAACTTATTTTGCTTCTTGTAAGAGATAGATCAGTATCTGATTCCGTCTCAAAAGATGTATAAAGCAATTCTTTTATGTTAACCGCCGATGTAATAAGATTATTTTAAACTGTGGTATGTTACATCTGATAGTTCGATTTTCTTTTTGCTCTGATAATTTGAAACCGTTATTATTTTTAACGCAAATAATTCTTACAATCCGTTAATTAATTCTGTTTTACACATGTTATTTGTAATCTGAAATTGTCTTTATTAGTTGCCATTTTTTAAGAGTACCATTTTTTATTCTTAAATGGTTTTATTGAAGGGGAAAGTGCAGAATCACCCACTGCTTGGCGCGTTTTTAAGACTTGCACATACTCGGCATCCATGTACACATCGACCTATTTTCACTTAAAAAACATCCCAGAATTGCACAAAAATGGCATTGCGCACTCCCTTGACTTTATCCATGTACACATCGACCTATTTTCACTTAAAAAGTCAAAGAAAATTGTTAAAAAAATCCAATTCTTCTTACTCTTGTATAATGCGCCAAACAATCGCCAATCAAATTAGTGGGCGATTCTGCACTTTAGCCTTATTTAATATGCAACTAGTATTGGGTTTTCTTCCGCAAAGGATCCATTGGCGCTTCTGCAGCGGATCCGTTGGCACCGGTGCGTATTTATAAGCTAAGCTCACCAACGGCTAATCGGCCATGATTTTAGCGGTGTATAGTTAGTTACGTTGCAAGATATTTAACAAATGGAAGCGATGATTTGAGCGGTGTACAGTCAAGTTATAAGATATATAGCATATAGAAGTAAAATAAATAGGTTAAGCATGACATTTAGCGCTGTATAAGTTAACCCAGGACCCGCGCTGTATTAGTATGTAACACGAGAACGCGCGTCGCAATTAAGCGACCTAGAAATGTGTGAATGTAAAATAATGCATTCTATATTAATTATAACATTTATTATATAAAATTGCTTAAAAATAAGGTCTGGTAGAGTTTTAGTAGATAAAAGCAAGATCTTTGAATTTATGCTGGCAATATTTAATAACAAAAAATATATGCCCGTAGGTCATCGGTTTGATACTCTGGCCACAGAGTAAGTGCTACCCATTTCGTCGACTATATCAACTGCTCCTTTTTTCATGAGGGTCCACGAGCAGCTGAGCGATAAAGTCACTGAACACTGGTTGTTTGGTCCGAGGTTCAAATCCCGCAAACAGGCTGGCTGCATGGGCATTTTCGTGGTTTCCCCATGTGTACCGTGTATACAAGCCAGTTTCCCTTAGAAAGTCCTCCACGAAGGCATCCCTCCCTTTAGGCAGATAGCCCTGGTGTACTTTATAATCTCAATAAACCAAACCTTTTGTCAAGTTATAAAACGTAATTATTTCAGATTTTTTCAAATCTCCTGTGCTTTCATCAATATGGTCATTATTGTGCATAGCTAACAAAGGTTGACACATTTGTTCTTTTCAGCCATATAAGAAAGTAGCATTATATCCTTTTGAAACCCGAAGAGGGTTGAATGCTGTTCTCTATTCTTATTTGACACAAATTCAGGTGGGATAATCTTCTCAGCCCTGCATATTGTTCCAACGATAGAAAGTTTATTTTTCTGTAAGAAATTGGCCAATTTATAAACTGGTATACCAACTGCGTGTGGTAACGTTTCTTCCAGAATTGTATAATGGAGCTAGAATGCACTTTGCATTTTCACAAGAACTGTTGACTTTCTTGTATGGTCCACCTGGCTGCTGACCTGAGTAAATTTCCATGTTGAAAGTATAGAAGGTTATAAAATCAACCAACAGTAAATATCTTTATACCATATCTTGCATTTTTCTTAGGCATATACTTAAGAAAGGAGCATCGTCCTTGAAAAGGTGCTAGCTTTTCCTCCAAAGTTATGTTTTCAAACAAATCTCTTATTGTAGCTATTTATCACTCTTTCTTCTGCCATCCCGTGTTCCAACATCATCAAATCATAAGGCACAAATGAAAAAGAAAAGCTTAAGTTCATTTTTTACGAAAAAATAATCCTGTTCCATCAGTCACCTATAATTCTCTAACATTTACATGGGAGGATAGATAATTGGAATGGAATTTACATAAGTCCTAAAAAAGCAAGAAACACTTCTCTATAGGTTTTGCATCTCTTTAAAATTTCCCAAAATATTTTTACATAAATATTAGAGCATTTCACAATCATTTCAATCATTGTGTCATCAAATATTAGCTTCCATGCATCGATGGGTGAAGCCACATCTTTAGATATATGTGTCTTTGAACATATATATATGGACACCATGCATCTTTGAATTCGAAAGGGCTCTTTCTTCTATTTTGTTGTTTTATCTCTTCCTCTAAAATAGTCGCTTTGATCGCAAGGAATGTCTTCTGAAGAGTCACACTGTTTTCCGAATTCAGACTGATGATCACTAAATATATCTTCATCATCTAAATCTTGTAAGAAAGACAGTTTCTGAAAAGATGTTTGGAAACTTATAAGAAATGATGTTCTGCAAATTTACCTTAAAATGGACATAATTCAATGCTGTATAAATTAGTGCAATTTAGAATATGCAAAGTGAGAATGGAAAAAGCAATATTCTCATTTTCAGTTATGAAATAACCAACGCTGTTGACAAATTAATATGTACTTTACGATAATTGCAGTTCTAGAATATCATTGAAATAATTTCTTCTTATAACAGATGTAGGAAAAATCAGCAATTCCAGTATTTTAAACTTATTAAAAACCAGCAGTTCCAGTATTTTATTCTGCATCAGGCCTAATGAAATTAAACATGACAACATCATTTTCTTCTGAATGATGCAGCCATACTGAAAAGGTAGATGAAACACTTCCAAAATGTTGTATCTGAAATGAGTCGTAAATGCTTTGCGTGGAAAAGTTCATGAATTGTTGCCAGACGTTGGACAACCTATTTTTATTCTAGATCTTTTTAAATCTCTTTTATAGTGAGAGTCTTTGGAGAGAGACTGCAGCTGATAGTTAATTTTGACAAAGTTGATAAACATGGTCAAGTGAAGATTGTTATTATGCCAGCAGTAATAACTTTAGGGGACATGACAGTGTGAATGGCCCAAAATACTAAATACTGAAGGTTCAAACTACCAGTAGTCAGCAACTTGTATTGCTCAGCTGCATGTGAACTTGAACAAAAGTATGAATATCTTATTAGTGAAACCCATGATATAAGAAAATTGGGAAAATTTATAAAGTTTTCAAGATTAAAACATGTCGATTGTACTATGAATCCCATGGTTCTGACATGTTTTAAATATACTCCTGCCACATAGATAGAAGCTGAATGATCATTGTCCTGCTTACGAACAGATATAACATGTCAATGTAGAATCTGAAGGAAAGATTAGGTTACTTCGAATGTGGCAAAAAATACCGGCTATCGACCTGAAGAAGGAAACCTTTTTTGAACAACTTTTTAAGGGAAATTGGCTTGTATTTGCAATTTGCATTACATATGAGGTAAACTAGAAAAATCAATCATGCAGCCTGCTCTTTAACCATGATATGAAACCAGATCAAACTACCAGTATTCAAAGGTCTTACCCAGTTGTAGGAAAAATCTGAAGAAAATGCTTGCAATATCATGTAATCAGAAATTAACTATGTGTTGCATAGCAGGTTTACTTTTGCAAGTGTCGAGGTAGAGAATACTATTTTTTTTTCTTTATATAGGTATTTAGCCATGGTATTCATTACATATATTCTCTGTCATTCATACAGAATACTAATATTTTTAGTAAAAAGTATCTTTTCATACGTGCTTTGGCTTGTCGATATTCTCAAAATTATGTTTAATCATTAGTGCTACTGTACATTTAATAGATTAATGGATTCATTACTAATATACATTTAAAATATTCATTTTACACAAGCAATTTTTCAAAGTTATTTTTTGAATTTACTTGCTGATAGCTAAAATATTTTATTTTGAAACAACTGTCTTTTTCATAATAAATGTGACAATGCCAAGTATCTTCAATAATATTCAAATCCTTTAAAATAGCATTGTAAATAAAATTAGAATAAACATTATGCATCTTGTTATCTTTCAAGATTCATTCAAACTTTCATTAATTACTCAAAGCAGTGGTTTACTAACTTTGATGACCCTGGGAATACATAAAAGTACTTTGTCATCTCAGAGAACCAATATTTTTTTTTTTTTTTCATTCTAATCATCTATTGTATATAAACACCTAGCATCCTCTGAAAAGTAATTTTTAAAAATGCATTAAAAATATATCAAATTTTGGTACAACTCTGATATACGCCCTAATTTCATCAAATGTGGCGATATGTGTTCTGCGCTGGTTTTTGGCGCGATTGCATGTTGTATGGCAACCCTGTTGACGTTGAAAAGTCTTTCGCTGGAGTTCGTTGGTTTCCGTCATGCTTTGTGTCTGAGAAGCTAAGGGGGAAAGATTTAATGGTGAAAGTTGTTGAATTGAAGTTCGGCATAAGGAAATATCGTCGTGGTCATCCTGTTGAGGGGCAATGGGTATTTGGAGGTGTGGAAAGAAGGTATGGGAGATTATTTTTAGTGGTTGTGCGTGATAGAAGTAGGGATTTGTGATTATTTGTTATTTTATTTATTTGTGAACCATAGTATGAATTTTCTGGATAGTGTGTCTGGCTGTCATATAAATACGATACTAGCGATTATGTGGCGGCATGTTAAAGGCGGTATGAAATTGGTATATCTGCTCTTCGAAAAAGCATTAATGGTAAGTGAATTTTATTTTATTCTTGTTCTTATTTTGTAGAATGTAATGTTCATTGTTTTTTTTTAGTATGAATTTCTGTCGTTATTGTTGTTTTTTTGAATTGTTTGAAATTTATTTTAGTTATTTTGTTGATTAGTGCATACCATCTGAATTCTGCAATTCATAGATGTTT